TAACCAAATTGTGGCATGCTTTTGGAGCCTGGTGACTTCTGCTGTGTTTATTAAATACCTGTTTACATTCCTGATTCCCCATTTCCAGCTGTTTCACACTGGCCGAGGGCACTTTGCTTGCCGAGTAGCGATTCCTATCTTCCAATGCAACAATCAGATAGTGGTTGAACACTGGCATTTTTTCTTCCCAACATTTTTCAAAGAGAGCACACTGCTTTCTTATAGTTGTGATGGATCAGCACTTCTCCCCCAATGGTGCTGAGGCTAAGGTACTCAGTTCTTTAACGTGAACTAAATCTCGTATCTCACGTTATGGACTGGCACAACAATCCCTTATTTAAAACTTTTGTCTCACCTTTCAGTGATAGAAAACGTGAAAACTAGATTAATTATTTGAAGAATATTTCTAACTTTTTGCAAAGAAATACCGGCTTGTTAGAGGGGATTATTATTTTATTTAGGATTCAATAAGGGAGGAGAGCTATTCATTCTAGTTTTAACTGAAAATTTTGCCGCTTTACTATAAGTAAAAAGTTCTAATGTTATGTTTTCTAAGCGATAGGGTATTCCGAGTTAGGAGTATTCTGTGGCGAGCGGGATAGTAAAAGTCATTGAATTAATCAAAATGAAAGTCTTCTGCAAGGCTTAAACATTTGATTATTCCAACTGGTAGAACCTCTTTAAGCTTTCATTTCTCTACAATGCAGATGTAGTTCAGACAGGAATTTCATATCATGGCGCCGTTTTCTGACTGTAACAAAATTTCATTTTAAGCAACATGTATTTATTGAATTTTTTCGCTTCGATTTCTATGTTTGTGCCAAATGATAGCCTATGTTAATTAATGAATCCATCGAGTTCACTTTATGCTCGTTTTTCTGAGTTCATGCATTTTTGTGAGTTTTTACATTGTTGATGTTATTTTAAATATTCAACTTTCAATGAATTTTAGTATCAAACACAATCGCAAATAATAAAAAATTAAACTGAAACTTCCTGAGAAATTAGTAAAAAATCAGTTAAATGAGAACAAGAAGTAACAATTACGATAAGCAGAGAACGAACACG